TAAATTTAAGGATGTGCACAAACAGAACTGTGATGACCAGCTTGCAAATGTCTTCCTCATGAATACAACCCATTCTTCCTTTCCTCAACCCAGCTGGGACATCCTACACAGGATCAAGCTGCTATGGGTAACAGGAAGTTCAGGAGGCCAAAGTTCAGACCATGCTTATGGTTTATCCCTCCACTTCTCCCCACCAACCAAGTAGTTTCCCACCTTGTCTAACTCTAGGCTACTCACAGCTCATTCTACTCTACAGCATTCTCTTTCCTACACAGATACATAGTGGGGAGCTTCAAAAAGTTCATGGAAAATGGAACATTTTGAAGCCCCACTGAACAATCTCTTTAAAAATTCTTCCCTTTATGGTTCTGCTAAGCTGTTTCTGGATACCTTTTACTCTTCCTCCTGCTTCTGGAACCTGACGTGAAACCCTAAATCCTGTCAACAAATATACATGTCCTGATGATTACATAGTCATGAGGAACACACAGAGCCATCTGTTTTGAGGGTCAAAAATACAAGACAGATGAGCCAGTGCCATTAAATACAGAGCCTCCTTAGTGGCACTCAGAGATCCCTTCTGAAGCCTCAACTTTCTTCCTAATAAAACTATGTTAAATACTTGTTAGTACTGTGAAAAAATGGTATGACGGCGGTGTCTGACCTCCTCTAACGTCATAGCTTCTTCTGTCTTGCCACTAGCACACAGTTCTCGGAGCCTTTGTCCCTCTGCCCTGCTTGGGTCAAGCATTACAATAGTTCTGCTAATTATGAGTTTACAGGCACCCCATTCCACAGCACTTCTCTCACCAGCTCTGGGTCACAGCTCTGCCCCTGGTTTGAAGAGGTCCAGAGCTGACATCGGTTCCAAAGAGAATGCCGCACTCGGGTCTCTTCAGTCTTAATGGGAATCAGATTCCCCCTTTCCACCTCTAGGATCACTCATGTTACACCTAGCGGGATGGCAAACTAACCAATCCCCTTGTTAGGTTCCCATACACCGTATCTGCACGGTCCCACCCCATAGAGTACCATATACCTTACTTAACACCATTCAATCTCCTAGGTAGGCCACCAAGCACCTTACATTTACAAAGTCCTAAACCCTATACAGGGTTACTATGGGTCGGAATCAACTAGACGGCACTTAACAACAACTTCTGGTGTGGCGTTGTAGGATAAGCACTGGACTGTGAACCAGTTCAGCAATTCAAAGCCACCGCAGCTCCTCAAAAACTCTATACAAGGGACTTTATGGCATTTAACAACCACCAGATTTTTGATGGGAGCGACAGAGACTACAGTTATAAGGGCCAGATCAGGTAATTCACTGCGCTGCATACAGTTTTGTACTTTTGCTATTATTTGTACAACATATTAGCTATACTGTAAAATATATTTTTTTTCATTGATTTTCTCAGGAATCTAAAGACATTGAATCTGTAAGAAAATGGGAGTTCCAACTAACCTGGTAATGAACCTTTAGAGCATAACACATTAAAAAGTGTGAAAGCTTCATGAATTGGCAAGTTTTCCTTAACTTTCTACTTTCCTATTATATTACATTTCTGGACAGAAAGGATACAATTGTATACCTTTCTCATCCTCATCATCCCACAAAAACCTCCCAACTTCCATACAAAAATTGGATGCACTAAAGATAGGTCAACTGGAAACTCTACTCATCATAACACTGTCTTTAGTTGTTAACTATAATTTGTCTTCCACTCTGCCTGCCTGTCAGTTTGTCTGTACTGTGGTGGCCTGTGTGTTGCTGTAATGATGGAAGCTATTCCACAGGTATTTTACATACCAGCAGGGTCACCCATGTTGGACAGGTTTCAGCGGTGCTTCCAGACTACGACAGACTACGAAGACGAAGAGGCTGACCACTTCTGAATAGTGAATCACGGATAATCTCAGAAGTAGCAATAGAACACTGTCAGATATGGTGCCAGAAGGTGAGCCCCTCAGGCTAAAAGGCACTTAAAATACCACTGGAAAAGAGCTGCCTCTTCCAAGTACAGCTGACCATAATGATGAGATTGGAGCATAGTTTTCAGGGCTTTCACTTGCTGATGAGGCATAACTCAAAATGAGGAGAAACAGCTACAAACATACATTAATAATTGGAATGTGGAATGTACGAAGTATGAATCTAGGAAAATTGGAAGTTGTCAGAAATGAAATGAACATGATTGGTAACCTAGGCATTAGTGAGCTGATGTTGGCCACCATGAATAGAACGATCATAGTTTATTATGCCCAGAACAGTAAACTGAAAAGGAATGATGTTCCATTCATTGTCAAATAGAACATTTCAACATAATAAGCTTAATGTAAAGTTATGATATAAACCACCACCAAATACTAAAAGATTGAACATTCTTACAGAAGAAAGGCTAAGGCTAATAATATACATCTGAGAAGCCTCCTCTCGGAAGGGCACATATGCTCTAGATGTTTTAGTGTCAAAAACCTTGGCCGAGGACTGCCATGCCTCACACAATTACAGAGGGTCACAGACACAAGAAAACAGTTCAACTCAAGTATTTGTGTGTGTGTGTATGTGTGTGTATTTTACCATATCACACAGGAAGAATATTATGTCTGCCAAAAAAAAAAAAAAAAGGTAAAATCAACGATTCATTCCCAAGTATTTACAGCTGTAACAGTCTTCAGAGGACCAATTCCCTTGTTGCACTGGGGATGGAATACAGTTGTGATCACACTCAGACACAAGGTAGGATACCCTCCCCCCCCGCCACCACCACCCACACAAGGCAGAACAAATGAGAAAGCAAACACAGAAAACCGTTTCAAATTTTACAGTTGTATGCAATGCCTGACTTTGGTATCTAAGCCCGTTTTGTAAGTTGAACAGTGACTATTCTGATCACTATTTCAAAGTAACAGTTTAGAGGATAACAGTGATTTGCATGAGCCTTATGTGACTCATAATTAATAAAATTTACTACACATGGATACTGAAATGACTGACAATACATTTAGGAAAACATTTATTCTGATTATTTTCCATACATATAGCTACTTTAAAATTCCCTAAGTAGCATTACAAAACAAACAAACAAAAACACAAGGTTATTAATTGTCTGGATTATAACGCTCAAGTTAAACCAAAGTATCTATAATTCATGTATGTAAATTATTCTGATCAACAATGAAACAAATGCTAAATCCCACACTGTTTGGAGACTTTAAATATTTAACAAAATAAACCAACCTGGGTTTCTTTTGTATGTAACCCAAACTATATTACTTAGAAAAGAAAGAATATTTACTAATCAGACAAAATTTCCTATTTCACTCAAGAGGTTATCTACTGAAAAGCTGATCAGTTTCTTGAGCACTACCTCTTAAAATACATACACAAACTAAATATGAAGTTATGCCTCTTATACAATGTGTAATTTCTTCATTATGATGGAATGCAACAAAATATCTTGCCCTTGGGTTGCTCAGTTTCAGCCAAAACAAATGCAAATGGCTTGTCAGATGACAGCTGTTTGATCAGACTGCTCTACAAGACCTGCATGCTTTACTTTTTTCCGTGAAACTTGGGCTGAAAGGCAGAAGGCAGGAAGAGAATTAATGTAGCATACAGTCTAAAGGCAATGCTACAACCGTGATTAAGTAGAAAAGTTAAAAGGCACAGATTTTCCACAGCTTCGCTGCGTGCAACCCATCCGTGTAACAAGTTGACAGGCCTAGCGCGCCAGCTCCATCATCCTCTCCGACAGCTAAAACGCAGCACTGCATCCCTTTTCAGAGAAAATTTGCGTCTGCACCATGAAGCGTTGTACATTATTTCTTAGCACTGCAGGGGGCTCAAGTCCATATGGAACCTTCACAAATATTACCACAGATCAAACCAGCGGCGTTTGGAGGCAGATTTGACATACCTATTTAAATGAACAGCAGGGGTCCTCGGGCAGCCTCAGGCTGTGCAGGAGAAAACCTCAGCGGAAAGCCTGAGCTGCAGCTCCATTACTCAGCAAAGACACACTCTACATTTATCATTCATTTCATTTCTGCCAGGGCAAGAAGCTCATTTGCCCAAGGTCAACAAAAAGCAGAGGGAAAAAAAAAAAGGTTTTCTTTTTTCCCCCCAAGAAATAAATGTACCTGACAAGTGGGGATTTTGTCCTCTGGGTTTGTGGAGCACAAATAAACACCAGATAATTCTAAAAAGCAGAGTAAATGTTTGCACAGAATTTAAACAGCTGAAATCTGCCTGCGGATGGGATTTATTGGGGATGCCCAATAAACATCTCTGTAACTTTGAAGAGTCATAAGAAGGAGTAAGACTAGACATCATAGTTTGAAAATAAAATGGTTTCTAACTGGATGTTAGCATCCAGCCTTCCCTGCTCTCCACCCCAATAATTCTGGGGAACCCTCTCAAATTGACACACTTACAGCTCTGAAAATGAGACAAACAAACAAACAAAAAAACTGTTCACAATATAACTCAAATGCAGTTGGAGGCCAAAATAAATAATTTCTTAGATTTTGTTTTGGGTCCAAAATCTAGACTCATACACTGAACTGATCTATGAAACACAAATATTATGTATAAATCAAAAACAAAACCAAGCTCACTATATGGTTCTCTCTCAAGGTAAATCCTCTTAGCACCTGCCATAGTACACTTGTTTCCATCTTGCCTGCAAGGTACATATATATGCACAGTGCTACTGAGCTGAACATCTACCTCCTAGCAGGATTTCAATTTGTAAGTAAAAGCATTTTAAGGACAAGCAATATAAACTCTATGGTTTACCAGTAGCAAAAACAAATACAATATAAAGCCTTTCAACATATTATCTTACCTCTAGAAACCTTATTTTGGTCCATTAAGAAAATACTGAATGAATTTGTAAGATCTGAGAAAAGCCTCTGGTTAATTAGTTTCTTAGTTTACAGTGAACATTATTAATCAGAAATGTTAATGCTATTTACCAACAATGAATACTCACATGCATTAATGAATAATACGACTGTTTGCCAGTGTAAAATAGAAAATGAAACGGACGACCATCCTCTCCCCACTGGATCGCTAATAAAGAAACAAATGAGAGTAAGTAAATAAAAATACAATATTCATGTAAGGACTAAATAGCTATATTTAATTACAATTATAAGCTACATTATGACTCAGATTAAGTTTTAAAATAACAAAAGAGAAATATCATTAATATTTATATTTTTAATCTTAGCTTACTATGCTTAACATGTAAATATTTAGGGTATTTAATATTTTATACCCATGAGCCTAAAATACTCTTTATATTTAATAAAATATTCCCAAATAGTTCATCATGAAAATTCCCGCAGTTTGTTTTAAATAAGGCACATGAAACTGCCAAAATATCTTTATCAAAAAGTTTATGTCCAGCTGTAAATACAAAGATCTCACACAGCAGTAACAGGCACCACAGAACAAAGGGAAACACTTCAACCAAACTTCTCTTTGCCACATCAGCCTTCTCAACCCTATGGGGACACACCTCTCAAGAGGCTTCAGATCATCTTGTGTAAATTAGATGCACCCCAAAAGTGCTAAGACTAACTCCTTTAGAAACACAGATGTCCATTCCTATCTAATAACCATCGAACGAACACAAGGGGGCTTCACAAAATTTGCAGAAAAACTACATTGTCTTTTAATTACATTTTCCCATGAACTTTGTAAAATATCCTTGGAACTTGAGAAATGCAAGTTATCATAGTAAAAAAAAGCACACATCAACTTCATGTTCTTTACCCATATTTGTTTTGCTGTTAAATAATTTTAGGAACTCTTATTTAATAAATGTGAGTCCTAGGTGTGGCTCTGTGGGATAATGCACTAGACTGCAAGGCTGGTTTGAACCACAAAGTCAGTGGTTTAAATTCAGCCGTTGCTCCTTGGAAACCCTATACAGGGTCACTATGAGTCCAAACTGACTTGAAGGCACTTAACAACAATAACACACAGTAAGTGCTGTCCTGGTTTGGCACTGTAGGTAACTGCACGGTTGGTGGTTCAAACTCACCAGGTGCTCCACGGAAACCCTTTACAGGGCTTTGTTAAGTGCAGTAGAATTGATGACGAGTGGCTGGTGAGCCTGAACCCCGACCTTGTGGTTCAAACTGACCTTGCAGCCCAGGGCTTTAACCCACGGCACCACCCTTTATCCATTACATAAGCTGTGAAATCTTCTCCCAGTCTTTTAATTTTGCTTATGGTGTCTTCCATCATCGAGGATTTTAAATGTTTATATAAAAACTAGTTATTATAGTCAAATCTTTCACTTTTCTTCTGTGGCAGAATTTCTGAAACTTTTCTTTTTTTCCATATTGTCCCTTCTAAGGAACCATTTCAGGGTTTTTTTTGGTTCGTTTTTTTTCTGCTAAATGGACCCTATGCTCCGGTCCAATGAAATTATACCACCACAGGTACTAGATGTCTGGTGCTGTACTGTGGTCATTGTTAATATCGAAGACACTGTCACCCTCCACAAACCAATCTTCATTCCCTTAAGAGATTTATCACCTCCCATTGAGAATGTGTGTGCTAAGATTTCTTTCAAAAACCATTTCACTATTATCTTCTGGAATTATGTTTTCATGTTCAGATGTTTTATGTATCTGGAATTTAGTTTTGTAAGGCAGAGATGTAAATATTATTTTGTACAGCAAAGAGAATCATTAATCTACTTTTAAAAAAATAGTATATCCTTTTCCTATTGAAATGCATCCTGTGTCATATGTAGAAAGTCGTTCTTCTCTGAGGATGCCGTTGTTATTTTAAGGGGCTGTCGAGTTGGTTCAGACTCACAGCAACTCTGTACAGGGTTTTCAAGAGTGGCTGATGGGTTTGAACTGCTGACTTTGTGGTTTGCAGTTCAAGTTTATCCTACAGCGCCACCCCAGGGCTCTGAGGATACTTAGTATTATTAAATATAGGCCACTTAAACTGAATATGCTTAGATAGATTCCAAAATTTCATAATAAGCGTGGGAAAAAGATTTGAAAAATAAAAGATTTTATTTACCAATAACTTCGTGGATAAGTAATTCTCCAATAAAATTTTCACAGATGTCATGAAATCCTGTATATTTTTCAATGTTTGTAACATCAATATGCAATCAATTTTAGTGTATGGTTAAGGTAGTCAGCAAGCCAGTGTCAAAAACAAAAACAAACAACAGATATCAAGGATGGCGCTAAGACTCTAATATAAAGCTTGGAGGGGCGTACTTGTGCTGGGCTTCATTCCTCATATGATCAGCTCACAAGTTAATATTTTTATGTTGTGACTACTTTTGCTTACCTTTGAAATACCATAATTTTCAGTACTGGGATAGGATGCTCCTGAGCTAAATTGCATATTTTCAATTTCATTGACTCTAAAATGTCACAGATTTAAGAGGTTTCATCATGTACTATAATTTATACACATACACAAAAGAGGAAAGCTGTCAAACGATGACACTCATCACTATGTTTAGGACTGTCTGGGTCTAGACTCTGACTCTGCTCCTTCTTACCTGTTCTTTTATTCCCACATATAAAAACTGGGGGGCATGGCAGGGCCTATTTACTAAAGCTGCTGTGTAGATTATGCTGTAATACATGCAAAGCACTTCGAACTTGTGCTTGGCCCACTCTACGTTTCAATAAATGATGGTGGTAATAATGGTGGTGTGCTATGGAGTCGGTTCTGACTCATAGTGATCCTGCACAGGGTTTCCGAGGCTATAAATCTTTACGGAACAAAAAACCTCATCTTTCTCCTGCAGAACAGCTGGTAGTTTCAAACTGCTGACCTTGAGATTAGCAGTGCGATTCATAACCACTACACTACCAAGGAGTCCTATGGGTTAATGAGCCAGACTGCAAAGCTGTTTGAACTGCAAGGTCAGCAGTTCAAGCTCACCAGCTGCTCCTTAGAAACCCTATACAGGGTCGCTATGGGTCGGAATAGACTCGATGGCACTAAACAACAACAAATAACACTACCAGAGCTCCTTTTCAATAAATGATAGCTATTGCTATTAGCTAGGAGATTTTTCAATTTAAATAGAGAAGATACCTATAATAATCTCACATTTATAAAATAATCTCTGAAAGTATTATTTAAAACTCTAAATTTGTTCTCTTATATGTTCCCTTTTTATTTTTTGAACAACTGTATTATAACGGACTGATTTAATTGGCTTTTCTGAAGAACTACAGGTAGGTTTTATTTATCATCAGGTTGTTGTTGTTGTTAAATGCCATCAAGTCGGTTACTACCCACAGTGACCCTGCACAGGGTTTCTTAGGAGCAGCTAGGGACCTTGAACCACTGACGCTGCAGTTTAAACCGACTTTGCAGTCCAATACATTTAACATAACTCTCTTTTAAATTCCTTCACTTCACTCATTAATTTAGTTTTTCTTTTTCAGGCTTGTTGAATTGAATTTTTAGTTCATTTATTTCAATGTCCTAAAATTTCTAATAAGTATATATCTGGTCCTGAACAACACATCCTCCATATCCCAGAGGGCTTAATATGAACCACTCTCACATTATTTCATGTATTTCTAACTAGTCTATTTCAATTTTGGCTTTCTTTTAACTCAAGAGTCACTCAGTGGTTCTAACGATTTTAAGTCATAAAATCTATGTTTTCTACTTTTTGGGATTTACTAAAGTTTTTATGTTCTATTATATAATTCTATTAATATTCTGTTGGCATCTGAAAAGATTGTGTTTTCTTTGTTTGTGTGACTGTTAGCTATAAGGTCTTGTGCTGTGTTGTGTTACAGTTGGCACTGACTGGGCAATACTCAACAACAGCATAGCCTTACTAACACCTTTCCTCTCCCCAAACAGAAATGTGTGAGGCACAACGTGGTGCATCCACTTAATGCAGACTAGGTTTTATCTATACAAGTTCACATTCCTTGCTTTGTGTGAGCTCTTCTCTAACATCCCATTGCCATGGAGTGAATTCCCGCTCATAGAGATCACGCAGGACAGAGCAGAACTGCGTCACTAACTTTTCAAAGCTACAAATCTTTATGGAAGCATACTGCCACATCTTTCTCCTGCAGAAGAGCCGGTGGGTTGGAATGCCCAATCTCTCAGCCAGCAGCTGCACACTTTAACCATCAGGGATAGTTTCTTTATAGAAAACACCAAATCTGTTGCCATTAAGTTGATTCCAACTCACAACATTCTGGCTTGTGTCATCTAGTCAGAACAAGGGGCTTCAAGAAGTTCATAGAAAAGTGGAATGAAAAGACAATAAAATTTTTTCACAAACTTTTTGAAGCCTCCTCATTTATATGTTTTGAAGTTACCACATACATGTTTTTTCCCCATATTTTTACTCTTTACTTTAAACAGTATAGAGCAGGATTTGTATGTTTACATAATATAGTAGTATCCATAATACTGTCTGGAAGCCATCATCTTTTAATAAGGGTGCTGCTAACATATTGCAATTGCCATAAAGGTTAACAAATAAAAAGTTCAGATAATTTTAACATTAAAAAAAATTAATGCAGTTTGTCCTAAATTTATGAAGTATGGCAGAATTGGGATGTAGACAGGTAGAAGGCAAAAAATATTTTGCTAATTCTAAAAGAATATGGCTTACACATACTTAAATGCAAGTTAGGATAATCCTACCAGCACTGACATGTTTCCAAAATCATGTATGGACATTTGTTATATTCCTAAAGGTAGTATAGTAAAAAGTTCCTGATACTTAGAAGTTACTGTGATTTGAAAGAACCAGTATCACGCTGACAGGTAATAAAGAGGTGCAAATACTGGAGACACATAGAACTCAGGTGTTTAAACCTGAGAGGTTTAAAAGCATTAGGAGTTCATCAAGACAAAGAAAAAAAAAAAACAAAAAAAAAACACCATCATAACATTTACAGAAAAACCACTAGGTAAAACTTAGTTTGCCTTGTATAAACAGATTTATGTCTGTTAAAGTGATATGTAGCTTTAATAACCACTGCTATTTCCCCAAAGCAATTATTAAATCAATTGTAAAATTTATAATGGTATACTTTATAATCCACAACTCATCTGTGAGTTTGCCATACTGCTCTGGCTTGCGTGATACTGGGAGACTAGAAGCTAGGCTACTAATATTTCAAAAACCAGCTGGGTCACCCACAGTGGACAGGTTTCAATGGTGCATCTACTACTAAGAAAGACAACAAAAAATCACCTGGAGATCTTCCCACCAAAATCTTATCTAGTGAAAATCTTTTATTTAGTAGTGGAACATTGTCTAATATAGTTCTGAAAAATGAGCCCATCAGTGGGAAGGTACTCAAAACATGAGTGGGGAAGAGCTGCTTTCTTAGAGAAGAGTCGGACTTCATGATGTGGATGCAGTGAGGTTTTAAGGACCTTCTTTTGCTGACATGGCACTACTCGAAATGAGAAGCAGCAGCTTCAAATATCTATTAATAATCAGAATGCAGGATACATGATGCATCAATCTAGAAAAACTTGGAGCTATAAAAATAAAATGGATGCATTAAGATCAATATCCTATGCACTAGTGAGCTAAAATGGCCTGGAATTGGCCATTACGAATCTGATAGTCATATGGTTTACTATGCTGGAATGACAAATTAAAGAGGAATGGAGTCACATTGACTGTCACAAAGATTTCAAGATCTATCCATGATAGACAGATCAAGTATAACACTATCAGTGATAAGATAATACACATACATCCATACTTAAAAAGATTATTATTCAAATTTATGCACTAACCACTAATGCCAAAGATAAAGAAATTGAATATTTTTAACAACCTCAACAGTTTGAAATTAATCAAACATGCAATCAAAGATGCATTGATAATTACTGGTGAGTGGAACACAAAAAGTGGAAACAAAGAGGAAGGATTAATATTTGGAAAACACGGTCTTGATGACAGAAATAACACTGGAGATCACATGATAAAATTGTCTAAGACCAGTGACTCATTCACTGGAAATACCGTTTTTTCCAGTAACATAAACAGCGAGTACACACATGGATCTCGTCAGATGGAATACAAAAGACTCAAACAGACTACATCTGTGGAAAGGAGATGATAGAAAAGCTCAATATCATCAGCCAGGAGAAAATTGTGGAAAACACCATCAATGACTCATGAAAGTTAAAGTGGAAGCTGAAGAAAATTTAAACAAATCCATGAGAACCAATGTAGAACTCATTTAGAGACCATCTCAGGATAAATTTGCCACACTGAACACTAATGAATACAGACCACACAAGTTGTGGGATGGTATCAAGGACATCATGCATGAAGAAAGTTGTTGTTGTTAAATGCCATCGGGTTGGTTCCAACTCATAGCAACCATGCACAGGGTTTCTGAGGAATGGCTGGTAGGTTTGAACCGTGGCCTTGATGTTCAAATCAATGTTGCTGCCCAGTACTTACCCTACAGTGCCATACCAGGACTCCATGAGGAAACTAAAAGGTCATTAAAAACAAAACAAGAAAGAAAGAAAAGGCCAAAATGGATGCCAGAAGAAACTCTGAAACTTGCTTTTGCACACAGAGTAGCTAAAGTTAATGGAGAAAATTATGGAAGTAAAAGAGCTAACAGATGATTTCAAAGGGTGGCTCAAGAACACAAAGTAAAGTATTACAATGAAACATGAAAGACCTGGGGTTAAAAAAACAAAAAAGATGAACATGCTCTGCATTTCTCAAGCTGACAGAGCTGAAAAATAAGTAAAGCCTCAAGGTGTGATATTCTAAGGGCAAAATACTGATTGGAGCAGGAGGCATCATAGAAGACGGAAGGAATATACAAACAGAATTGGCTGATGTTCCACCATTTCCGGGAGCACATGATCAAGAGCCAGTGGTACTGAGGGAAAAACCCAAGCTGCACTGAAGGCACTGGTGAAAAATAAGACTCTAGGAATTGTTGCAATACCAATTGAAATGTTTCAAACCAAAAAACAGACGTCACATGGGGAAGTAGAAAAGTTAAAGTGAACAAAAGTAAATACTATTACTAATGGTGCATGGAGGGGATTGCAATCATTGTAATAAAACCAAGTGTATGATTTTTCGAAAGTGGGACTGCTCATCTGCTCTGTAAACCTTCACGCAATTCACAACCAGAAGTTAAAAAGCAAAACAAAACAGATGTCACACTGGAAGCTCATTCGTGTAAGACAAGAAACTTGGAAGATCTGGCCAACCAATTGAGAGAGATCCATACTTGTGCCCACTCCAAACAAAGGTTATTGTCGTTATTAAGTGCCAATGAGTTGGTTCCGACTCAGAGTGACCCTGCACAGGGTTTCCGAGGCTATAAATCTTTATGCTCTTGTGAAATGGCTGGTAGCTTTGAACTGCCGACCTTGAGGTTAGCAGCCCAATTCATAACCACCACGCTACCAGAGCTCCTTCAAACAAAGGTAATCCGATAAAAAGTAGAAAATTCAAGCAATATCATTACTATCACATGCAAGTAAAGTTTTCCCTGGAGATAATTCATAAACAGTTGCAGGAGTCATCAACAGAGAACTGCCAGTAACTCAATCCGCATTTGGAACAAGGGAATTCCAGAATTGTTCTTATGAGGAACCTGTACACAAGCCAAGAAACAGTCCTTTGAATGAACACGGGGATATGGAATACTTCCTGGTTTAAAATCAGGAAAGGTATGTATCAGGGTTACATATCTCCAGTACACTTAATCTGTACGCTGAGCAAAGAATCTGAGAAGCTGTACTATAGGAAGAAGAACACAGCATCAGGATTGGAGGAAGACTCATTAAAAACCTGTGATATGCAGATGAAAAGAAAGAGGATTTGAAATACATGGTTGCCAACAAGATGTATATTTTAAAAGAATAAAGTTAACCTTTACTTTACAGTGATTTTTGTCTATATACAAAGAAATACAGTACATATTTATGGGGACTCCTAGCACAGGGCTTCCCTCTTTTCACTAGGAGTTTCACTTATAGCTGACAATCTATGGGGGGGAGGGGCAAATAAACAGTGATGGAGCTCAGCTATCAACCCCCCCCCCACCTTTTTCTTTATATTAAAAGTGTGATAAATGTACTGATAAATAAAAGTTTATATTTTGAGTTTTTAAAGAACATGAAGATTTTTGGTTTTATAATACTTGTTCAATTAACTGACAAATACCACCAGTTCACACTGGAAGCTTCTAATATAAAGTAAATATACTGTCAGATGTCCTAGTAGCATTAAACATTACTGCTGGTTTTCATTAGGATTAAAACAAACAAGCAAATAAAACCACACTTTAAAAAGATAAAGAGGATTTAAGAGAAGTCGGAGAAAGTAGGAGACATAAAAAGACTGACAGCTAACTGCTTATACCATATAAGTCTAGCATCACTGTCTAAAAGTGCTAAAAAACCAAAAAGAAAATAGCCTATATATTCAGGGATGACAACTCTTCTAAAACAGAAAAAAGTTTAAAATTTTCACATAAGTAAATCCTGAGATAATTTATTAAAAAAAGGCATGCTGCTATCCCACAGCCAAGGAACCTGTTCCAACTCATAGCCTCGTATAGGGCATCTGTAGCTGTAAATCTTCTCGAGAGCAGAAAGCCTCATCTTTCTCCAGAGGAGAGCCTGGTAGATTAGAACTGCTGACCTTATGGTTAGCAGCCCAGTACTTATTCTATAGCCCATCACCAGGACGCCTTTCAAAAATGCATGTTAATATGCAAATAAACTAGTGGGGAATTAGCATAAACATAAGCTGTAGAAGACTTGATGTAGCTACTGATGAAGATCAAGGACTATATATAGCCTTTAGTATGGATTACACCTGAATGTTAAGAAAACAATAATCCTCACAACTGGACCAATAAGTAACATCAAGATAAACAGAAAAAGATTGAAGTTGTTAAGAACCAACTCAACAGCACCTAACAATAATAATCTAATTTTAATTTTATTAATTAAAAATAAATGGAAGTATGGTGGCTCTACACAATAGGTACTAGACTTGAGAACCAAAGGCCAAAAGTTCTAGCCCACTAGCTGCTTTGAGTTGGAACTGACTTGACAGCACTTAATGACAACAGCAACTGAAAAGAAGTAATTGGCAAATGCTAATAATCATATGGAATATTTTTTACCTCTGCCATACATGAAGAGTCTGCTGATTTAACACAAAGCTGAAATACAGAAGAATGTGTTTATTTAATTATTGAACTTACCTCTTTGTTTTGGAAAAATGTGGTCAGGATGCTGTAAAATAAATCAAAAGTATATTAGATAATTACAGAAACATATAAAAGAAGTAAAAAATTTTTAAATATTAAATAACTACCTTCATTATTGGTCGAGCTCGTTTCTCAAACAAACCACTTGGAAAAAGGTAAACAATAGCTCTCTGAAAACATACAAAAAAGTTAATTAACAATTCATAAAACAACTGAGCATTATAACTACCAGCTACTCTGAGCATTAGTATTCTTTGAGCTTAGTATTATTCTGTGTCACACTGAACTAAGAGTTTCATTTTCATCACCTCATTTCATAATTTTTAAAATGGAACAATAAAACCACTGCTCCCTATTACAGAGTCTTGGTGTGGCACTGCAGCATGAGCACTGGACCACAAGGTTGGTGTGAATGGTGAGGTTGATGGTTCAAACTCACCAGCTACTCCTTAGAAACTCTTTACAGGGTCACTATAAATCAGAACCAACTTCACGGCACTTAACAACAACAAATTATGTATCATGGAATCCTGGTGTGGCACTTCAGGGTAAATACTAGAATGCTAACCACAGGCATAGGTTCAAATAAACCAGCCACTTCTTAAAACCTAATACAGGGTCACTATGAGTCGGAACCGACTTGACGGTACTAGCAACATTATGGATTGAAGGCACCCTGGTGATGCTCTTGGATGAGCGCATCAGTTGTTCTGGCAGAGAAAATTGCGACTGTCTGCTCCTGTAAAGATTTACAGTCTTAGAAACCCTATATAGGGTCACTGAGAATCAGAATCAACTCAATGGCAGTGGGTCTGTTTTTTACTGTGGATTGAGGAGCCCTGGCAGCACAGTGGTTAAGTATCCAGCTGCTAACTAAAACGTCCAAGGTTTAAACTCATCAGCCACTCCATGGGAGAAAGATGAGGCAGTTTGCTTCTATAAAGATTGCTATCGTTGTTAAGTGCCACTAAATAGGTTCCGACTCATAGAAACCCTGTACAGAATTTCTAAGGAGGGGCTGGTGGATTTGAACCGCTGACTTTGTGGTTAGCAGTCCAGTGCTTATCCTAGAGCCAAACCAGGACTCCCTCAGAAGCCCTACTGGACAGTTCTACTCCGTCTACTCTGACATGAGTCACCATCAATTTTTTGTTGTTGTTGTATTATGGATTGTACTATATTCCCTCTGAAAGATAGGGTGAAACCCTCCCACTGCTGTGAATGTAGACATGTTTGGAAACAGGGTCTTTGGAGATGTTATCAGCAAAGGCAACATAAGGTCATACTGCATAAGCCAATAGGAATGTTGTTGTTAAGTGCAACTCATAGCTACCCTGTATAGGGTTCTCAAGGCTATAATCGTTATGGGGACAGAAAACCTCATCTTTCTCCTGAGGAGCAGCAGGTAGATTTGAACTGCTATCCTTGAAGTTAGCAGCCCAACTTGTAACCCACTATGCTACCCAGGCTCCTTAATCCAGTAAGAACAGTGCCCTTATAAAAGAGGACAAACACAAGAGAGAAACAGGGAAGACAGCATGTGAGAGCAGAGGCAGGGATTTTGAGGGATGCATCTGTAAGCCAAAGACTGCCAAGGGTCATTAGCTGTCACTAGACATTATGAAAGAGGCATGGAAAACATTCTTCCTCAGAGCCTTCAGAAGGAAGAAACATGGCCACCACCCTGGTTCCTAACTCCTAGCTTCCAGAAATGTGAGACAATAAATGCCTGTTCTTACAAGCCACCTAGTTTCTGGTGCTTTGATACAGAAGCCTGAAGAAATGAACACATATTCCTATTTTTAAAAATATATAACTACTAAATGGTTTATTGACAATTTTCAAGTGTCAGTTTAAACATGCCACTTCTTCAATGTGCTACCACAAAAGGTATTTCTTTGGGTGGGGCTGCTAATAAAACTAGAGGTGTTTCTATATAACTTTTGTGGTTATGCGTTTTATGAGCAATTATTTAACTCAGAAGATAGGATACTAAAAACAAAAAGCTCCAACTCTCATCTACTATAACACACCTGATATATTTAAATGCTCTACACTTTTCTCAGAAGTTAGGAGACATTTTTAAACTACACTCTTTTCAGACAAGTTCTCTAAAGCATCTGTGTTTCAATGGGATGCTACTGGTATTTTTATCGTGAAAATTGTTGTGTACCCAACCTTCGCCCAGATAAATAGGTCATTTAACATAGATTTTCAAAATACGTCAATAATTACCATAGTCTTTTGCCTTGTGATAAATCTCATCCCACACTTTCCCAAACACTCAACAACTAAAGAGTAATCATGCCCTCCAAGCCCCTGAGAAGAGCTGCATACGCCATGACAGCATCTTCTCCAATATTCCTCCTCACCAAGTACAAAGTACATTTTCATCCTTGTTAAGCAGTGACAGATGAGAAGTCTGTGGCCTTGATCTTGGCACTTGATCTGAACTCTAAATGAACTGGTAGTTCAGTGAAACACAGTGCTGCTATTTTAGAGAAGCTGTTCCAAGACACGGTGAATATGCAGCACCAGATTCAGTGCCTGAAGAGAGGAGCTGATAACTTTGGGAGCAAAGTTAATGATATCAGGGAGCCAAGTTGTGGGTCTGAGTCCAGCAATTCTCTCGTGTTCTCTAATCTAGAACCCAAAAGAAAGTCACTAAGACACAACATAATCAAACTATCCAAAACAAAGATAAAAAAAGAATCCTGAGAGCAGCTCAGGGAAATGAAAATGCTACCTGCAAAGGAAAACCAGTAAGATCAAGCTCTGATTATTCAGCAGAAACCATGCAGGCAAGAAGGCAATGAGGAGACATATTCAAAATTGACAAGAAAAAAACTGCCAACTAAGAATCATATACCTAGCAAAACTGTCCATCAAATATGATGGCAAAATTATTTTAGAACATTTCTGGAAACAACAAATTAAATGACTTTGTAAAAGCCAATTCAACTCTCCAAAATATAATAAAAGGAATTCCTTGGACTGAGAACCAACAAGAGTATACAACAACCAGAGACTAACATATATGGCAATACCACAGTGAATTCGATCCAGAAATGGAAGCGCCCAGAGTAGAACAAAAGTACAAGACTGAAAACATGGAATCTGCGATGTCAGTCTATGATGAAGATAACTACAGAGTGAAGGGAGGGAACAGTATAGTTACAGAATTCTAAGTGATAAGGAGGTCAGGTTAACTTCAGGATAAATCAGACTTTTAAAATGGGGAAGAAATTAATAAAGTACAGATAGCACTGTTAGCGTAGTGGTTACGAATCGGGCTGCGAACCTTAAGGTCAGTGGTTCGAAACTACCAGCTGCTCCGCGGGAGAAAGATAAGGCTTTCTACTCCCGTAAAGATTTACACCCTCGGAAACCCT